CATTCACTTCTAACACCGCAACCGTGTTTCTTCCACGTATTCCAAGGCAAAAGTCTGCAAAACTCTCCGAAAATTTGGGTGCTATATTACACGCACAGTGATCTTCACTGCGTTTTGAAGATGGAATACGAAACGCTACAACTAAGATACCGGAACGAGTTCCTATGACCAAATCCACACACCCAGACGCACCACTACATTTTGCCATGATCTTCGAATTCAGGAACTGGCTAGTTATTCAGTGCGCTATCAGTTGTATGTTTCTTCTAACAGAAAATAGCCTATAGAAGAGGCTTGTGAAGAGGTTTAAAATTTGACAGAAATGATGGAGAAGTAATAGGTATGTAACTACATTCTGATCCTAAAACAGGCATTAAAATCCAGTGTGCGGACGATAGGATGACTGTTGGTTTAGGCTACTCTTGGAAACCATCTTATTAGGATTCATCAGGAATTATACAAAGGGCTCCTCACATATAAAAAATAACCGTAAAAGACCAAGTGTTCCGCCTCCTCAGCATTGAGGGAAGGCTCTGGGAGAGTCTCACGTGGTGAATTCCAGCAAAATCTTTCTTTTCATCGGCACCAGTGTTCGTGCGTAAGATCTATGGTATACATCCTTCCAGTGACGCAGGCCGTAATACTCTGAGGAAAATAACCTTATGGCCTTCAAATAAACTGTGATGGTGCTGCAGATAAGCACGTGTTCAAAAGTTGTGTTACACTAACGACGGTTTTAATCACGATATAAACATACGTTCTACGAAAACCTTTGATGGCAGTTGACAAAACCTATACTGACTGATTGCAGGTGCAAAATTACCATGTTTTCAAGCGCAATTTTCATGAGCTCTGCTCAACCCGATAGTGTAGCATAATTATTTAAACTACTTGAAATGAACTGCACCTCCAGAGGATATGAAGCAGGTAGAGTAGGATCATCTGCGTACTCACTGTCTGTGAGCGAATGTCCCGGTTGCAGTTCGATTCCTGAGGTCTCGGTGACAGACAGAGAAGTTTCATGGTCACTTGGAAAAACTTGACTGTAACCAACCCAGTAAGCTAGCGTGTCATGGATATTGGCAGCCCAACTAAATAATCTCACCATTGTTCACCTACCTCTGTAAAGCTTTTTAGGGTAAATGAGTGGAAATTCAGCAAACACCGTCGTTTACATACGGAGTTTTTTTGACAGCAGAGTTAAATTGAATCCAGCAAAATCAGTTGAAGCAGACCATCGTAAACGAGGAATTTAGCTGGATTCACCCGAGTCTCCTGTCATCCAAATTCCTGTGCAAACGACAATAGCTGTCAAAATCTGTTCAATTTTGGCTCAAGAAAAAAGACAAAGGTGGTGGCAACTCGGGAACCGCATCTACCTGGTGATCCAAAAAATTGGCGAAAAAGGTCGTGGACTTTTGGAGGGCTTTCAGCGAACATATTAATAGTGTGTTACGTCTGGAGAATAAGGTTTTATTTAACTGTTCGATCATAAGTGGACAGATCAATGCGGCACTGGAACCAGCTGGAAAATTTGATTCGCCACCAGAATAAGGTTTACGAACCAGCAAAAGAAACTGTTTCTTACGGAGTCGACTCAGAAAGTAGCTACCTCAACAGTTAGGAAGTTTTAATAGGCGGCTAAAAGTTAGAATAGGAGTTCACTGATTCAGATGCTAATTGCGACAACCAACTTGCTTCATTAATTATTTGGAGAACCACCACAGTGAAACAAACTGGTGGGGAGCAGTAAACTGTACTTAGTTGGATGCAAAACCGTATCAGCACCAGAGGGTTATTTCTTTTGCCCAAGTTTGCTCAACAGGAGGAAGGCTGAGAGTCGATGCAGGTTACTTTTCTCGAGATCTGTACTTTGTAGCTTTGCAACCTTCTCTAAAATTGAACCCGTTTAGCCATACAGGATAAGCAGAGGCCTAATAATCTACAGAATGAATATCAAAAATAATCGTACACCCCTCTGTATCTAGCTGTGTTGCTACGCGGGGGCTGAGTTACTGTCAGCTTGTTCAAGCCTAGGTAGAGACAGTTGGGTTCATCCCACGGCCTTTTTGTTCGTTGAGATTACGCCCTAATTACTGAACCATCTCCAGGCCATCTCACATAATACGTCGATGAAAACGCTACAAAAGCCACAAAGCCGCTGTGGCGCTGCTTGAATAAATAAAAAGTGTCCCTCAGAGACCAAATCTCTCCAACCAAACTCCTTCCCAAAATGCACAAAGGTAAGGAATTTTTGAGTGGTCATTCGATCCAGTGAAGTGGTGTCCCTACAGCTAGGAATTTGTCGGACGGATAAGCAATACAGGTGAGCTGCAAATTCCAAAAGTAACAGATTTGTCACAATGCATGATGCGAGCCTTGTTATGCGGAAATTAATGGTGATGGGCCATCATCCGAGGAAGCAAAAGATAGCCAATTGATTAAGGCGCGAATTTACTGACCGTAAGGGCCATGGGTCTAAAACAACCTGGGAATCTCGACTGCGCCTCTCAAGGCTTGGACAACCTGACACTATCACAGTCCTTGTGCTTCCTCCTGGTGGCATGGCACCTGAAGGGTGTTACATCTGAACAGTTATTTTTCATCACCCAAAGAAAAACCTGGCAACCTTGTCCAGACGTCTGTTATGCAAAGCTTCGCTCTCATTCACCATACAGACAACGTTGTTTTGAGCCGATGGGTTTTCCAGTCACTAATCGAGAATAGGCTTGCGTTTGACGGGCATTTAAATTTTCTCTTATCTACGACAATTTTACCTTTAACAGTTTAGCAAACTTAAACTAACACCCCTCAACATTTTAAAGTTTCTTCCATCTTAATTCGCGTACCCTTAGGTCCTTAACAAATTAACCTGGTACAGGCTCAAATTCCGAGTTACTGTCTCAAAAAGTGATTAGGAGTGTGGAGTCATTCTTCTTCCATCTCCGCATTTTCCCCTACACGTTCACTTTTCAGTTCTTTAAGCGAAAAATGCAGCAATCACTTCTGTACTGTCAACAAAGGTGGTAGCCACGTCGCTCCTCATGTTCCATTCCCAGTGACGAAACTTACTATTGCTCTCTGACAAGTTCAAATCTCCATTGTACCGTAGGGTAATAGAGGCTCCAGTTTGCCTAAAATCGAGTGACCTATCTGAACTAAATGTGCTGCTTCCTCGAATACCATGCAGTGTGACCAAAGAGAAAAACTAACTTCTTTTGGTTCCGTATTGGTTCGGCTAGTATGGAAGGAACTAAGCGGTGGTTCCACCAAGGTGCCGAGTAACGACCTCGAGCCTCTTATTACTGGCTAAGGGATGGCTGGTTCAACATTAGGAACCTAAACCTGAAGCTACAGACAGGAGCATTCTGTGGTTCCCGAAGGTTGTCTGGCTTTGAAAGGCGATTCCTTTTGCAATATTTGTCATCATCATCATTATCTGCAGAAACCGCGTGCTTGCCGTACAGCGCTTTTAGCTGTCACACTTCCGTTTATCGATGATTTCGGGAGGTGGGGTAGATAGCTGCGTATTGGGGGTGGCAGCTGATGTAACTGATGCGTGAATACAGGACTGTCAGTGAAATTTTCATTGGGGAGATTTGGAGGGGGTTATGTATTGAAGGTAACATCTTCGACTGCTCGACGTCTGACAATACCTCTATCCATTAGTTCGTCCCGTCCCGGATTCCCCATCCAGGGAGATGAAGAGGAGCAGCGCAGCTGAGTCTGCTGCACTAGTATAGTATCTCATGGACGGAAACGTCTTTTAAAAGCCTGCCACGTTAGAACCGTTTTGTAATCCGTGACAGTAATCTTTGCGTTAGTAACCTGATGGTCAACTTCCACAGAGTAATAAAAATTTATTTTACCGAAGCCATATCAGGAATAAAACAAAAACTGAAGTGAAAAGGCCCTGTCGTTAACTTATCATAAGCACTCTTATACATCTACGCAGACAATTTTTATGGAAGTTGTTAGCACGAATGCCAGTGATATCGGTTAGTGGGTATATCAAAAAATCTAATGGTAGTGGCAGGAGAATCGGTAATATCAAACTGGGGTTTCCTGCTGTAAGTGAAGTCGGTGTATACTGAAAAGCCAAGAAACACTGCACAATCGTTTCACCCTAATGGTGAGTCATCAGCAGTGCGCACTTCAGGGAACTTACAGAGTTTCGAACCTCACAGCTAGTAGCTTGAACACTTAACCGTTTATCCACGATGAACTGAACAGCACTGTGACTAACTCACACGTAGGACATATCGTCTTTCATTATTCATTTACGGGAATCACATCACGTGTTTACTTACTGACTGTTTCCTCAAGTGACGACTTCTTTAAAGGGAGTTCCACTCCACTTATCAACCACCAATCTATAAGTAGCCCAGAGGAAGAATAATGTCACAGCTGAATATCAGGAAAGTCTCCAGCCAGGCACGGGAAGTATCACATGGATCCCAATCCAAAAACCAGACAGTAATGTCTGTAGCCATACTTTCCATAATTCTTTCCATACCTCCGGTGGACACAAAGTCATCTGCGTAGTTTACGCCACCTCGATGCTGTTGTATAAAATAACGTCCTCCTCCCTGCATAATTACTGGGCACGCGTAGCACATTAGCGAACCACCGTAGATTGTACATCTGTGTGATCGCAGTGTGTGTTATGTACCTCATGCCTCATCACTTATCCATTTCCCGATCACCTCTGTAAAGTCGATGCGGGCAGTGTGTTCCAATTGGGGCTCTTAGATACTGATGGCCAACGACCTGAAGGCGCCTTAGGTTTGTCTACCACGCCTACTCATTAAAAAAATCACCTATTCTTTATGAGTTTCTGTTGATTCTGTCGACGTATCGCGCAAATAGTAAAACAACAAATCTTATCTTCTGGGTCAATCGATGAACTTGACGCTGAATATTGTGAAAAACTAGGAATTTTGTGTGTGATATGTTTCCAACTATCAGTCACCAAATATTTCCATCTCATCTTCGCCTAGTGCTATCGGAGGATCCCTGTATGCGCTTTGTCAGAAATTCTACCCGAACACCGTCTACTCCAGTCCCTTCAATTCCTGGTGTGCTCACCACGCAACAGCTTCACAACCCCATATCTCTGAGCGAAAGGTGCACCGGGCAGCAGATCTGTGCGGCCTAGCTGGTACAAATTCTACAAGAACTGGGCTGCCGGAGACCTATGTAATCCAAGTGATACAAAAGATTTTGGATGCACTGGATTATATGCACAAGCACATGAAACTGGTTCACTTAGATATTAAGGTGAGTGATGCGTTTTTTTTGTTCTTGCGATGCACGCGCGCGTATGTGCGTGTGCAAGCAAATCGCTTTGTAAGAGTCAAACAAACGCAATCGTACGCTCCAACAACAAACAAATTTTCGGATTTCGTGAACCTCCCTAAACACTAATTCTGGAAAAATGTTGTGTGCGACCCACTGAATGGTTATGAATTAAGGTCGCCTGGACCACTATTCTATTTCAGTTCTTTTCGTTGACAGCATTCCTTTTGGGGCCAATCACGAAACCCACAAGAAAACAGATAGAGCAAAAGGAATGTGGTAACTCCTGTTTGCAAGCCTCGTGTGTTTTCTGGGGGAGGGGCATTGATCATCCAGAGGGCTAGGTGACAAGCCGGGCTGTCTGCCTGCATGCACGTGTGTCGTGCTGTCCAGGGTCACGCGGTGCGTAAACAATCTATTCAGGCTACGGCGGATGGGCTACCATCACACTGATTCACACATTCCTTTTCACAGTAGCTGGTAAAACAACTGCTGTTCTGGCCTTTGTTTCCCTCTTCCACCATAGTGGACAGTAACAAACGTTGGTGCAGAAATCGACAGACCAGTCGTCTTCCGGGTGGGAGTCTTTTAAGGCGATCAGGTCACAGTAAAATTCAGTCTATGGTTGCCGCCTTAACTAGCTGTATGGATGGTATCCGAAGTGTTTCGAACGTCCGCATGGCTGTACCCTGTGTCCGTCCGAGGATATCCGAAACTGATTGAGAGGTGAACTAACACACTATACTCGACAGCTCGTGCATTCAGTCTCCGGAAACCTATGCTAATGAACGAATTTCTGTTCCTGTAAACATGTTCAGACTGTCTACTCGACGGGGCTGTTTCTTCGTAGGAGATGTGATTAATAAGAACTGTATCGCCTAGCTTTCCCACCGATGCAGTAGGATGTTAGAGGCACAATACTTTCTCTGTCTAAGGATTCTCCCCTTATCGACCCTGTCTCCGGCAGTTGTGACCGGTGGGCTATCCGTCACCCCATGGTTCAATGACTATGATTCTGGGATGAATTCACTTGGATTAATGGCGTCATTAAAGGGTAAAATGTCCTAGTGTTTTAAAAGGCTTATTGGTTGTTTGCTGGAGTATTCCGATTGCGTTGATCGGTAGTAACATTTTCTGAATACCAGTGACCATCCCAAAATGGCTCGAGTGAGCAAACCTCTATGCCACCCTTCATCCCCTTCATCATGAACCATCGTAAACGAATAACCTGTCTCCGGTGGCTCAAATGAGAGTACGATGTCCTCCCTCCCTCCCTCTCTTGTAATTGAATGTCACTTAACGAATCCTCAGTTCGCACTTAAGAACACTGGATTTGAATGCAAGGTGCTCACTATGGATGGTCTTGGGGGAAAACGTGTCCAAATGCTATCAGCATTCCCTGATTAGACCGGGTTAAGATTACTGTTCACTCAGTATGTGAGCTTGATAACAACTCGAGTGCCTGGGAATATCGTTTACTGACCAGGAAACACTGAATGAAGCGGATGCCCACCTATAATCTTGGAGCATACCAACTCAGCACCTTACGTTCCAATGGGATTGAGTTAAGCAGTTGATAATGTGCTGTGGGAGCATAATAAAGACGATATTCAGATCACATTACTCAGTGATTACTTGCCACTTCACTCGTTTGGACCGTGTTGGCCGAGTAACTAATACAGAGTGCGGATCACCAAATTAACGGAAATTTTTTAAAAATAAAGATACTAATCGATGCCGTTTATACCAAGTGATAACAGCGAGGGCTCCCCGAAGTGTCGTGAGTTGAACTTTCTCACAGATTCACTCGTTTGGATGTGCTTGTTCTGGGACAGCCGAATAGCTATGGGTAAAGATGAAATTAACCAAACCAACTTAAACCCTATCATTTCTAAGACACCGCGGGACGGGATGTTGACACTAGTCATCTTGATAGGTTTTGTTTCTTTCCATATAATAGGGGAACAGCGGATGAACGACCTCCATAGAAAAGTAGCGAAAATGATATGCCCATGCCTATCTTCCCGGATTTCTGGAAATTACACGACTACCCAGAATGAGACTACCCAGAATGAAAACATCATTCGTAAGGCTACTGAAAGCTCCTAGACAGCGCACTACGTACGGATAATGGTGAACAACTGCGTCAGCTGTATTGTGACCGCAAGCTGCCTCAATGTATTACTGACCTATGAAATAGCCGGAGTCGTCTGGGCACATGCTGTAAACCAATAGCCTTCCGGCTACCAACCCAAATCGACCACATTGCCATCAATTACCGATGGCGCGGATCAATGACTGACTACCGCTCGTTTTAGAGCACATCGGTGAATTCCAACCACGTGCTTGTCAGGAATCACTTCCCCCTTAGTTTTCTAAGGCCGCTTAAGGTGCGGACAAATGGCTTGGCAACTGAGAGACTGGCAGATCCGAATGTTAGACGAATGTACCATCGTCTTCTGGAATCGCTTCCGACCCCACCACCATTAAACGTGAATACATGGTGGAACGAGATCGTCACCCCTTTGTATAATGTTAAGAGTTTCGCCTGTGGCACGGTGCCACCAGGCCCACTCAAGCACTGGATATCACAACGAACATTAGCACTGCTTAAATCTCCGAGAAAGACCGTAGCTGGTCTCGAGCATAACTTGGTCCGACGAGCTATCAGACGTCAGGAGAAAGTGAGCGTAAGTGCCGGTCGGAGAATCTGGTGGACATAGAAAGCCAGGGAAATGGAAGAGACCAAGGAATCCGGCAATGCTTGAAGATCAGTTCTTTTGATCCGTGAACTACCTGTGAGAGAAATCATCAAGGATCAGAATGGAACGACCATTTTGAATAAAAAAGAACGCCTCGACCGTTGGGCCGAATACCTCAAACAAGAGTTGTCGTGGCCAGCAGCTGCCAGTCATCTGGAGCCCACAGTTGGAAGAGAACTCTGGACGGTAAACGTGGAACCATCGGCAGCCTCGGAAGTTTACGGCTTCATATGTTCTCTGAAGCGCCATTTGCAAAAAACGGGCTTGTAATGAGTTTGTTAACCACAGGGGGGTCAGCCTAATTCCGGTCGTAACGAGACTCTTATATCACTTGTGCTTTGTCGCATTATGATGGTCCGTGAAACACCGACTCGAGATCAGCGAGCTAGATTCCGGCCTGGAAGGGGTTGCTTTGACCAAATCTTTACACGTACGAACGACCCAGAATTTTAGTATTCCTGGAGTTTCAAGGCGCATTGGACTCGGTCGATTGGTCTGTTCTCCTTGCCACTCCTGCCTATCAAGGAATGTCACGAAAGTTTGTGAACATAATAAGTTCTTTGTATTCTCACACTTCCGGATGTGCGAGCATACAGAGGGCTTTCCAAAAGATTCCATACACCATGCGGTGTACAACAGGGACGCCCACTGTCTCCGTTCCTATTTAATTTCGCGATCGTTGAGATAATGAGACGAACGCTGGAAGGTCTTCAAAACTCTCGTGCTCAAATGTCTTCTGACGAGAACCTTTTTTGATCTGGAGTGTGCAGATGATATCGTCGCGATCTTCGAAGAGAAGGCGCAGATGTTTTTAGATGGACTGATCCTTGGTGTGCACTCTCCACCCACGAAGTATAAGAGCATGCTCCTGGACTTTCAGTCGCTAAAGACACAACTTACAATCTAGGAAGACGAACTAGAAGTTCTGGAGCGTTTTACTTAACTTGAAAGTTGTATTAGTTCCGACTGTAATGTGAGAGATGAAGTCAATGCACGAATCTGCAAGGTTCAATTCGTGTTTGTTAATTTGAGACCCCTATGGCGTCAAGATGGTATATCCCTGAATCTCAGAAGACTTGTGTATCAGGCTACGGTGTGCGCTAGCTGTAAGACTTGTCCTGTTCGAGCGGAAGTCTTCAGGTTTTCAACAATCGTTGTCTCAGGATCACAGCTTGTGTGGGTTGGTATCAGAGAATCCGTACCGAGGTAATTAGAAGCGAGTTTTCGATTGAAGTGTAACCAGCACCAGAAGCTCGGTTAGTTCGGCCATGTATTGCGTGTGCAAAACCATCGTTTTCCGTGCCCCATTCAGAGTGACATAAACAGAGACGTAGCGAACCCTGCGCTTGGCAGGGTAGTATGTGATAGATTACGAAACGTTTATGTGCTGTCAGTGCTATTCGGGTTCCAGGATAGGGACCGCGTAATCCCCACTTCGCATGATTAAAACGCCGCAAGATATGACTGCTAATCGATGTCAGCGGCGTTCTTGTTGTCTGTTTCTATCAATATTTGCTGAATGGGAGTTTGGATGTGTAGGCACCTCGGAATGATTATATTAAGCTAGCCTGAAGTCTCTTCTCTGTCCACGTTTCAAACAATTCGTGGCTGCATAGCAGCAAAGCATCAGTGTTGAACAGTGATGTTATGCTGTTGCTGCTGTTGTTGTTGTTCATGATGATGATGATGATGATGATGATGATGATGATGATGATGATATTTATGGCTCCGAGATGACATCGAGTTGGACGTTGCGATTTGAGTTATTCTACTTTATGGATCAAACACGTGGCGGCTAGGTGTAGATCATCGGTGCGTTGCATGGATCTGGTGTCAACATCAGGTCAATAAAGTTGAGGTATGCCAGGTGACTTTCATGCAGTAAACTCGTCAGATGGACAGCTAACGAGCTTAAATAAACGTTGTGTTCTATTTGAATACTAAATTTTGCAGAGCTGACAGAATGTTATTTTGATATTTCCATCGGGAAAGAAAATCCATACATTCGACAATTTTTACAGGCAAAGTTGGTTATCAGTTGTCTTTAAAGGTGAATAGTAGAAGGGCAACCTGATTGAATCGTTCGATATGTTTGTTGGAGTACTACGATAAATAAACTGGAACTATTGGTGTTTTTCTCCTTTGATCAAATTGACCCAATACACTACAAAATGGAGCTGTTTTCGAAAGTCATCGAAGGGTTGATAACCTGTTCACATTTGTTCTCTTCCGGGAGGCAATCTCCTTGGCATGGTGGAGCAAGCTGCTACGACAGGCACGACTGCTTAGCGGTTGTAAGGAAAGCACGGATGTTCTCTTGGTTCTCTTCCTCGACTCGCTGTTTTCAATGAGAACTTCAACATACCAAACCATCAGCTGACCGGGCAGCAGCTGACTAGGTAGCAGTGCCGCCACTTTATTGGTTAAAAATTGCCGAGAATACTTCCATTTATAACGAATAAAGACTGTCTCTGTTACAAGAAACATGTGTTTTGAAACTTGCGGACCACACCTGATCATCCCGTTTGTATCACGTCAGATGCGCACGTTAGCGAGGAAACAGCGTGACGAAACATCATAACACAGTATTTCGTTAGTTTAATTATATCTGTGTGCATTTTTCGGCAGACATCCCTTCACCGTATCGGTCGATATCTTGTTTACTGTTCCTTGTTTAAACTTCCCCAATTATCGATGGTTTTCTAGATGGCTTTGTCTAACTTTTAATTTAGTCCAGAACGACTGACAAGTTTTTCTGTCTGCCATTTGAACCAAAGAGTAACGGCCCATTTTAGAAAGCCAATCCTTTTAACCGATACGCGAAAATAGCCCAACTGAGTGCCTTCACCGTCATATTGATATAAAATTACTATACGGTGGCTAGCCAGCATGATCTGGATTCACAGATTCACCATGCTGTTGCTGTCAGCAAATGCGGCTCCAAATTTAAGTCGGCGCACCGAGAAAAATACCGTTATCATGTCAACCAGAAGAACTTTCTCATAGATCGGTTAGAAGATGCTACACATTATTGAGTGCAAGCAAAGCAAGTCCGCAAAGACAATCAGCATTGGGTCGGGCCCCATCTACCTGATTGAAGAGAAGGTCACAGGTGAAAAACTCTTGGAACCGACTGAGTAGTCATTGCTAGCTACATGTTTTCTTAAAAGGTAGCTAACACAAACGCTAGTTGTTGCCTCTGACGTTGTAGCTAAATGTCACACTCTACACAGTGGTTTACATACGAAATGTCTTTGAATTCCAATCAATAGGCTGTTCTTTTTGAAGACAGGTCCTACTTTGGACGTGTACCGTATCTCGTACTGTAACAGGCATTATGCGCCTCAACCCTCCTCTTGCTAATTAAGCATTCTGTTCTTGAACTAGAGAAAGCATTCGAGACAGATGTGTTGCTCTTGCGGAGATCACCACTGTAACACAATATGAACCAACTGCAGGCCACGAGAGGATACAAAGGAACAAAGTGGATTCATGATCTAAGTTCACTTGCTGATTCCACAACCAATAACAAAAAATTTAATGTTTCTTTAAATTTTTGCCAAAAATGTTTTTCGAACATGTTCCGCAGACAAGCATACCTACTTGTGGTTTATTTCCGCACCTATCGATTGCCCGTCTGTTGTGCGGCCTTGTCCTCATTTCAACAAGTTGCCATGACAACCATCTTTCAAAACTTCGTGCCAGATTGTGCTCTAAGCGTGTTGTTGCACCGTCCCAAATAACAACCAGACTCACGTCACATGCAAACATCACGGCGGGGATGCGATTGATGGGGCTGATGGATCGATATTCGGGAATGCTCTGAGCGTGAGTAAAACCCAACCTCACGGTTGTTCAAAAATGCTGAAAATATGTTGGTAGCCTAATAAAACACACTGAAGCACAGAGAGTGATTGTATGCACACGCCTTCAAGAAATTGATCTAAACATTTTGAGAGAGTAGGGAGATCTCCTGGGTGTTCATCGGCATCTGGTAACATTCTCAGTGCCAACTTACTGTTGTTCTCTAGGATGCTTCCACCTGTACTGCGCTAACCACGGTGGTTTGTAAGGGAGAATCCCCACAATTGCTCTCCTTACCAGGAGACCCTACGAGGGGAAGTAGGTCCTTTCAGGGGACGATTTCTCCGATTGTAACCATCTGTCAAGGAGGCAATGCCTTAAGGTTATGGAGCAGACACCAGCAAGGGCATTGAAATGCTTCCCAAGACTAAAAGCAACAATGTAAAAAACGTAGTCTCCGTACTCAGTTATGTAAGCCAGCTGTCATGGTAAAGGGCTACTGTCAAAACCGCTGCCAATAGCCTGTCATTGCACTTTAAGAGTAAGTCCTGACTTACTATGATTTGGCCCTGAATGTGTGCAAGTCTCTTGTGAAATTCAGATTGGTAATACGCTGCTGGCTTGGACCGTGTGATGAAACAAGCCTCGATAACTTCAGTTCCCAATGATTACCATTGTTTTTGCTGTTGTGTAGGGTAAAAATGCGTTGGTTGGTAGTTTTTAGTAGAGTTTGGCGACGCCGGTTATATTTTCTTGGCATAGCACGACACTATTGTTTCAAACGTAACGACGTCTGACGTGAGGCACTCTTAGAGTGTAACCTTTCTTCAGAGAGTCGTACACCAGATCGGAGTTGACAAGCGATGTTCCAAAGTCTTATCCTCTCCTCAGTGGATTATACTGAAACACCTTTAACTAAAGTTTCCCTTATGTTCTACGTAAACACCAAATTCTCGACTCACATTCGCAAATCGAAATAGTGTTCGCGAGAAACTCAACAAATGTGTATAAAAATTCGGCATTCGCGTAGGACATAATGCTGGTGACACTACACACACCAGGTGAACCCCGAGAATGACGAAGCCGGTCGTGAACTGTCGAAGTGTTTTTCAGTAACCTTATAAGTAGTGCATTTCGTTGAGCATTGTAAACGGAGAATTCAAGTGAATTCTCGGTAACATCAGCGTCATTTACCAGTGTGTGCAATTGGTCAAATTATCTCAAAGTCTTATCTCGAAGTCTCATTTAGGGGAGCACCAGGCCGTTCGTAAGGACTGATAACCCATCTACAGTAACACCGTAAAAAGCATAACAGGAAATAAGAGTATTTGGCTTTCGCCTGAAGCTCAGCCCTCCTCACAGCCACCGCACGTTGTACTCGTGAGTGATACAGTCACCAACTTCAATAATTTAGTATTTTGTAAGATATTCAAAGCGGTTTAGACCTTTAGAAGGTTCCAGCAACGATGTATTAGTGCCTTATCTTTCTGGTGAACAGTTCGCTCCACTCAGCATCAGGACTGCGTTCTTCGATACGTTCGCCAAATTGGGACAGGCTAATTCCTGTTGTGGTTTATCAGGGAGAGGACTCATTTTTCATGACATATTTCTATCTCGTTGCATTCAGCTGCATGCTGTGTCCCCAGAAAGTAATTTTCAGCTATGACTGTTCACTGGGGTGAAATGTCTGTGCCGGAATATCAACTTCAGTGGTGTATGGGGTACATCGTGTATGCTCTGGTGTGCCTGATTATAAAATTGAGAGACGCACCACAAGATCCTCTGCTGTTGCCAGTCCTCTAATTTGTTGTGATATTCTTTGCCTTACTAATGAATAGACAAGTTTGGACTTAGCATCTGGCTTGAAAAGATTGCTTGCTTGCACAGTAATTTAGAAAATGTGTACAACCTTTAAGGGTGTGATATACCCTCAAAAGAGAAGTGAAAATTTAGTGAGTTGATTGGATTCCCCTTCTTTATACGTCTAGGCTGAGAACATTCTCCTGCGACAACCGTATCCCTCCACAGACGTCTTTATCACTGACTTTGGATTGGCGACCGTACTTACAGAGGGCAAGCAACATCGTGAACTTGCTGGCACACCGGATTATGTTGGTGAGTATTAATGAATGTATATCATCTATTAGAATTAACCAGATCCGGGAACGCCTGCAGATATAGTAACAAAATTTCACATGATCCTTTATCCGTGATGCCTCCGAAGCACACGATTCATTGTTCACTTCACTTGAGTGACGAACTCGCGAGTTTTGATATGTCAACCCGAACGTGTTTATTCAATGACACCCTTTGCTACCGTCCAAAAGACCACCGACCAAACCAGCGAGCGACTTACCTGCACCCTTAGATCCTAGTTTGCGTTGCTGTTTTATCTCTTGGTTTTCCATCGGTTTCGTACTATGTCCATATAATATCTGTATCGAGGTGTATTTTGTGGAGCTGTGTTCCATCACACTGTCGCGCATTATATTATGCTGTATCAGTTAGTACTGCACCAGTATTTGGTGTGTAAATGTACATATCTCTCGTCCTTACACCCTGGATATTGCAAAGTATTGAACCTTCAGATTAACTAGAATTCATACTGTATATACTAACCAGCCGGCCATATGAGTGCCTAACATTGGATCTTGTCCAAGGTAACTCTCGCCGTCCACTGCTAATCCTCATATGATTTGACGATTATGGGTCGTCATTTGGGCATCCTAATGGCTTCAGAGCTCTCCCCTTTCGTTCACCCCCTGGTCTGATTTCTCTGAGTTCTCTTGGATTCCACAGCTCAGCGCAACTCTCATATGGTCTATGTAACGGGCATACCACGAAAGGGATGCTGCCCCACAAATTCGGGCTAAGGAACAATTACAGTTATTCAGAATTATTTCTGAGGTCGATGAGCCTCTGTATTTTCAAATAAGGCGTCACAAGGATATTCAAATGTTTCAAACAAAACGGCGGAGCAGCGCAAAACCTTTTGCCTTTATTAGGGCCTCCCAGCTCGGCTCAAGCGTTATCGGGCAAGTAAATCCCTGGTAAACAGTCAGGGCCGCACCCACTTACACATACACGTTGGAGAGACCTGGGCAACTGGTTGGTTCATTAAGTGAATCCAGTTGTAATCCGCTGTTTACTCAATCGACTGATTTGATTCATAACTCCAAGCAGCAACCATCAGCTGTTGGTGCTCGCTCGGGTAGCAGTTTTTAATTATTGGTCAGAGTCACTCAGGTGGTCCAAGGAGGACGTAAGCCCTATTGAAGCTAAGTTTTCTAGAAACAGATCACAACTATGACACAAACGTCCGATCAAATTCACATTGTAGGGTCTGATACTTATCACCCACCTAATATAGATCAAGGATCAGAAATCACTCGAATGATGGAGGATAGTTATACTCACCAGATCAACCAGCAGTTACCCCATTTGTTCGATTACACATCGGGATCTACCTCTAGTCTGCAGTAAACCAATACCATTTTGCGGTCGCACTTTGCTCTCTTGACCATTCGCCTATTATCGTTTGAGATATTTTCTACGCGAATCCCCTGGGTATTTGGTGGAATCCGCAAAATAATGTAAAATAGTTATAAATTGCAATTTACGGGTTATAAAATATTGACTGCTGATCAGGCGAAGGCACATCAAGCTTGGCAGTGGACTCAAGGGAATATCGTCAGTGTGCGAACACACTGCTTGAGTATGTGCAATTTCTACAGAGTATTCAATATCTTTAATGTGAGTGGTTTTTATGGGGCGGGCTAGAATGCAGTTTGATTGGCTGGTTTGGAGTTAATGTAGTGCTTGGTCTGGGCATCTCGCATCCAGTTGGGAACCTCCATTTCAGTAGTCCTTATCCCTTATTCCTACTGATCCACTCTGTCCTCTTTATGTGCTGCATTCCATCTAGTCTTTCTGCCACCTCAACAGCCGAAAAAGTCGCCTGACTTAAATTTATTCAGAAATTACCAATCGTAAAATGGGAATACTGATCAAACTACAATAAAATAATAGCAACACATGGATCACAGAGCAGTGTGTTTCAAACTTGCACATAAGAACGTAGTGTTAATGGAGATTATGGTGTGCCTTCTAACTCTCAACGATCTCAGTCAAGTCTCTAGTCCATTATCCTCGTCAAAATCCTCACAAGTGTCTAATTTGGTGTGCGAGTATGACATAACTCACAGAAATTCGGAGTGCAGGGTCATCCTATAGGCTTAGAAATGAGCAAACCGGTAGTGGCCAGTTCAAGTCTATTCATCATTTTTGTGAGCAGCACCATATGAAGTACAAGCAGCGCAATGCAAGGATGACGGGAAAGGGTGGCTGCATAAACGAACCTGGATATTCAGAATTCACTCTTTATCTGCGGTTGTGAGCCGTTCGACGCTGCCCAAATCCTGCACCTTGTTAGGTTTCTGGGAAGGACATCATGCAATCCATGGGTAATAAGCGGTTTTGGACGCGTTTTGTGGACAAAAAATTACGGATCATACAGGAAATGTTCAAACGCACACGGAGTAAGTGCGTAGGAGGACAAGTAAGACCAATTATCCCACGGTCTCATGGCATCGCGGATGTTCACCTATTACGGAACGGGGGATCAAAACATAATCCGACAAGAGAAGAGGCCAGTATCTGGCTATCCATAGTGAGGATACACATGCAGCTAAATTATGGAGAACTATCCAAGTCCTAAAAAATGAAAGTTGTGACGAACTCATCATCGAGTTTGACTCCGAAGGAGTGCTGTGCCACCTTCAAAAGTACATAGCTTATGCTTTTTGTGCGCTTTATATAAGGGTCGGAGCCGACATGTAAATAGCAGTTGTTCTATCATATCTCACACGTACGAACCTGCCTTCCAGTTGGAGATGGTTCATTGTTCGTGAGGACTGGGATTTAGGCAACGACTGATATGCATTGGCGGTTTGCGTACGATGGCGTCCAATGCTGCAAACCTACAAGAATCGATTAGCCTGGGTGCTGCCGTAATGGCACAGAGTAGCGAAACATGAATGAAGTGAACGATTGCTAGGAGGTCAAAACGAGGTATGTCCAAAAGTAGCCTCAATTTTAGAGTGCTCCTGGTGTAATGTAAATCCGATTGGTGTTGGGGAACTTGTCTGGTTTCGGTGTCGAGATCAGATTCTGCAAACCATGTGAGCTGAACCGTCGTATGACCCATCTGCCCCAGATGCTTTTCCGAGGCAGACGAATGGTTAGGTTCTCATTGGAACACTGTATGAGGCTGTTTAGCTATCAGTTGATAGTGCTTCTGACCCTGCGCTAAACATGACGACCACAGCCTCCATACCCTCAGACACCACCGGAGATTGCAATTATTACAGGTCCTTGGCCTTGGGTTGTTTGGGGAGTCCAATTAAAAAAGCTTTGTGCACCAAATAGTAAATGTTTGGCACATAACACTGCAAAACAGCCACATTTAACACCTGGTAAAAATAGACAGGCATAAAGGTAGTGGAAAATAGACAAACTTCAGACGCGATTAATTTTTTGTATAACTATCATCAAATGAATGTCAGATCCCATAGAGAAGAGCAAGATAGCGGTAGGTTCCGGTGCTGACAGACAACAGTTTGAATTTGCGTGGCATTCTGGAAGTAAATGAGTGGGACTAAAGTGGATAAATGGAATCCGAAACAGATTTAAAAGAAAGGTTCCAACAAGCATCGTCGAGTTCGCCAACCAGAAAGTCACTTGCTGTCAAGATTGCTTTTCCGGAATTTGTCATTCTGAAAGGTAGCATTGAAGTTGTTCGATTGAATATTGGAACTTTGAATGAGGGACAGTCTGGAGTCAGCTGAATGATCCATGATTATCAGGTGTCTCATAATGGACTGTGCTGTCTCGGGGATGTGAGATTGTGACCAGTTTGTTTAGGCACTCTTCGAAAAGGACGGAGAACTGTGCTGTAGTTAGACAGTTAGGCGAACAGTAGGGGAAGGAAGATAACAGGGTCCTCATGTTTGGTTGAGGTGAAATCGAGGAGCCACCACAGACTTCGCTATTCTTAGATGTGCGACCGGAAAGCCGTGGTCTAAAGCAGCCATCAGATTGCGTTTAATTTGTGCACAATTATCGTGACACCAAATGGTTACTGTAGAAAAACCTCCTTATTTTCTGTCGTCGGCAACCACATTTGCTTCAGTTTTTTGCAGCTTATTTATCCGGGTAGGCGTTCTTCAGTGGATTTTGTTTCGAGAATGGTTATGCTGGGTTTATGTCCGCATGAACTATCAGGTGACCAATGGCAAACACATCAAGTTCTGCCTAATTGCCAAAATCTGTGTAGGATTGCTTAAATAGATGGAGCTCTAAGCAGCAGTGAGAACTTCGATGGTTTCCTTTCCTTGTCAAATTCTAGCTAAACGAACGTAATTTCCTCTGAGATTACGTTTTCAGCAAGCAAAATAAGTGACAACATAAATATGTTGCTTTTCTACAAGTGTGCAAATTCTGAAAGCCTTTTCCAGTTACTAGATATAACAAGCTTATATTTTTAGTCTAATTCATTCGTTTGAAAAGTTTTACTTTTCTGGGACCAGAATTATGGAGGCGGTCATACAGACTCAGCACGGAATGATCGGGATCCCCTTCCTTTCTTCTCACTGTAGGGCTCTGCCCACAAAGATGCTGCTATAGTTGTTGTTGTTAGTGATGATAATGAGAACAAGAGGTATTTGCTGCTGGACAATAACATGAACGTTATATTGGTTGAATAATATTGTCCTATCCTACTAAAGCCAGAGGAGCACCCGGCTACGACTACTCATCATGTTCCATTTGCGCGTGAGCGGTGGAATAACGTTGGGCACTGGTTGGTGACGTAAACAGTTTCCAGACAGCATTCCAACAGAACACGTTAGATACGTTCTCCGAGCAGACAATGATGTTTGACCACCATATTATGTCTGTTCAGTAGGATTTACAGTGACCTAATGCTAAGATGTGGACAATGTGACTGAATTTTTCTTTGAGCTGCAAACTCCAAAAAGTGCCGAGAAGACGAAATTTTGTTGGGGTTTAAAGTGAGTCCCACTGAAAATATACCAAAGTTGAGGACTGAATGAATAAGGCTCTCCTTAAAGGTGCTATAGAGAGAAGGTTATTGTCTTCTCGACATTTCACCAGAGACCTCAGCAAATTTTGGAACAATCTGCCTGAAAACACCAGGATAGACAACCCCATCAGGAAACGAAAGTCACAAAATTTCGCTAGATTCGAAAACTTGCACTCACGAGTTACACTGACAACTCAAATATGTTGTTTAGTGCCACCCATTCCTTCTAATAAGTTGGTAGTGAACTTGGCTCCATACGACATAGATCTTTTGAATTTCTATCTTCAGTGGTTGGCAGTCATCTCTGTAGTACCGCACGACCTCCTGTTCCCGGTGCAGTGCAAGGTGAAACCTGTGCATAGTTTTAGTTGGTCAGTAAATTAGATAGGTAATCCTCTACCTCATCAACCAAGCTCCGTTTTTTCCTGTCACTGTAATCGATGGTTCGAATGGGCATATTTTAATGCGCGTGTCGCGCAGCTGCACACGCTTAATGATGGAGTGATGTTGGTGACTCACTGACACACACACACACACACACCTAGCAAACAGATCCAGGTGCACCCGCTCCACCAAGGAGGAAGAAGCATATAATCGACAAACTATTTTGATCGAATTGTGGACACACTTGTGGCGCTTGCCACAAACGACGACGTCATTACATACAGATTGGTATGTTCCAGATTTTGGGTCTCTAGCCTCCAGAATTAGGCCGCATACCAGGATTCAGCATGTCCAATGACCGTTACATCATCGTGGAGGGTGTGAGTGACGGATGGGGAGAAAGTTTCGGAGCGTGATTTCGGTATAGACTTCGAAAAAATGATGAAAAGTCAGAGCTCTTATTACGCAATCAAGTAAAAAAGCTGTTTTTTGGTGAAAGATTTTTTACCGTCAATTACATGGTAACAACTGTCTGTGACTTTGGTTTTTTTCATCCCACAGCTCCGGAAATCATAAATTATGATCCGATTGGTTTCTCAACCGACATGTGGTAAGTCAAGTCCTTGAAACCAATAACAGTGTGTTTTCTCCGATTTCGTGTTCAGATAGAAGTTCAGGATATAAAATTCATCCATTCCCTTATCTTCTCCCCTGGTCTCACTGTGGGGATTCACTTCTGAGAAGCAACATGTCCGGTTTGACAGTCTTCATACAAAATGAACTGCAAAGTTTTAGCGGATTAGTGACGAGAACCACTAGTGAAGACCACAAGTTTTCGGTAATTATTATGCTGTTCAACAGCATTATAAGTTTGGAAATTAGTTGATTCAGCATGCGACGGGCTGGCAGTTGCGCACAAATCTCATAGATTTAGTCCACAGAATATACCTGCCTTGGCTTGGCCTGTCGTGACATTCCCTCGTAAGGTTTCCTTGCCAAGTCTGAGCCGAATGAAGGGTCCTGATGTTGCTATTTTGGACGCAGAAAGGAGAGTTTAAGCATCCAAAAACAATGAATTCGACTGAAGACATACAGTTTGACTTCGTTTGACTGCTTTCTGATGAATCGGAATTCACAGAAAATTTATACTTTTGAGCTGTCAAAGCTTCTTCCGATTGCAATGAATCTTTGTAGTCCGGCTTGTACAGGCCACCCGGGGTTGAAGTAAATCCGTGGGTAATGTGCCTTTTACTCTACCTTTTCAACTCTACCTGGTAAATGTGCTCTCGATTCGTAAAATTTCTATTCACATTTTCACTATAAGTAGAATGAAACAGGTAGAGAGAGGTGCTGTCAGCTTTCCCGAGCTTAGGTGAGAACACTTAGAAAGCCAGGACACACACAGGAATCACACACCTTCTGTGAGTAGCTCCCATCTTAGGAATGCACGAGAGAAGTTCCTTTTGCCATTTTCATGATACTCCGTTGAATTTCGTCTAAGATGATGGCATGCAGAAGTAAACCTACGAATCTCACGTTTGTCGTTAGTTGTTTGAAAAATCGCCCAGGCTAGAACCCTGTTATTTTTCGGTCGGTTGTCCATCATTTTTATGGCGACTTTATGAAGAGATTTCCAGTAGACAGTTCGTATCTCAGTGCCTTGAACTTCGGTGGAGTCCAACAGAGGGAATAATGTTTGACTGTTAGCAGCTTCCCCCCTCAGTATGAGCGTTGTTTCTTTCCTGAGTTCTTTGGAGGGGGTTGGTCAGCACATATCGAAAACCCTCAGGACTATAGGGGTCGCCGACTCAAACAACGAATAAACCAGCAGAATTATGATAGCCGACCAATGTAACAAAGCGCCATTGGCTGTGTACCGCTTCGAGTCAACTGGAACCAAACACCAGGGCGTGAAAAAAATCAAGTCTGACCGAGAAATTTCACAAAACAAGTTGTCTGTAGCTGTATAAGCGACTGGAAAAAGAGCACCGACTTCATCTCTATCTGTTGTGTGAGAGATTGCTTTGCGAATTCACAACCGTGTGAACAACTTGCGGTGAAACTGAGCGTAATTTTCTCTGGTTCGCTTAGTAGTCGATTTTGTCAGAAAAATCGAAGCACTGTGTATTTACTTTATCGCTCTCTATCAAAACTGGCAATTAATCGGCACTAGAAGAACAATCGTACTGCCGCTGACATTTGTCCACAAACCAGAGTTTGTCCTCAATGAAGTTATTACATTGGAAAGAATTCCAGTTCCGGGCGTCTGTTTACATGCGTGCGAACCCATTTGGGACATACCGCAAATTCCACAACGATGAACTACTTTCAGAAAGGCATTATTCATCCTCACCATTTCCTTCGCCTTGTTGTGGTCCCTTTTTTCCTCGTATAAGCTGTGTTTTGTCAAGCTGTGTTCACAGCCCCAAACTGTGCAACAGTTAATAAGTACACGTTCATTTTCACATGGATGATCCTTTAAACTTGCACTTTTAAGGCTTTATTAAGCACAGAACACGTGAGTAGCTTGAACCGTTGTCAAAGAGCAATTTGTGCTCGGAAATTTTCAGAAGTACTATACGACGGGAAAAGGGGAATTGGAAAAATGTTTTAAGTTTCTGAGCGTCAATGGTCTTGTTTCCCTTTGAACTAAGCGCGCAAAGAGACCGTTGTCGTGCGGAGAAATATGCCGCTAGTTTTCACTCTCTGTGCGTATCCGATCACGCACTGTGTCTACGCATTCTAATCAGAATCGTTTTTTCTGCATGTCAGACGACAATTTGTGGCGAGGGGGCTTGCTCCTAAAAGATGGATTTCGTCGGTGGAATAGCGAAATCACATTCGCCACCCTTCCAAAACCGTTCCACTTTGGGCAAGCAGTGGATTCTAGAGAAAACACACTACTCAATAGGTTGCTGAAAAATCTACGGTAGGTGGCAATCGTTCTCACTTTTAAGGATTTCATCAGTTAGGTGTAGCACTTGAGTCTCCGTGAGCCTGACGTTACACCTGAACTCAAGTTAGAAGCAATTTGAGAAACAGTAATCTGCTTCTAACAGGAGCTCGAATCCGTGAATCACTTGTTCACGAGGCCATTAACTGAATGTGTGGCACAAGCAGCTTCGGGTTTCATTTGGAAACTTAGAGACTGAGCTTACTTGATGAGCACCGAAGAGGGCAGAACCGATGGCGGGCTGTTATACTTTCCAGCAACCTTTTGAGTAGTGTGTTCCGTTTTAAATATGTAGTGTTATACCTCAAAAACAGTACCAACTAAAAATGAGGCGGTTTTGTGAAGCACTGTCAGCTGAAGAACGCTATAAAAATAAGGTTCAGCTGGATTAATTGGCCTGTTAGAACCAAATTGATGTAAAAATGAGTTTATTTAGCGAAGCAAAAACATCATTTGATTAGGACTGAAGTTTTGCCGTTGTTACCACGGGTAGTATTCGAACGGCACTGAAAACTTTGTTCGAGTCTCCGCTGTAGTATTTTTTACTCTGAATAGTACGCTCTTACGAACGTGAACCCCATTATCCAGGTTTTAAAGTGATACCTGTACTCTTCGTTGAGCTGTACAACGTTTTCGCCAACTTTCCGTCGAAAGTCGGGTTGACTGCATCAATGTGTAACGGCGTATTAGCATGTGATCTGTGCACCGGCGAACCGCTATAGCGCTTTGTACTACGAACCATTAGGCTGAAAGTGTTCTGTGGTTTTTGGGAACTCCATTTTGATAGTTTAGGGATTCCAGTGGAGTGTTTCTCAGTTTTAAGTGGACAAATAATTTAGTTATGTTGACACATCCCCTTTTGGAAGGCTACAAGAGGAACATCAAGGTTCACCAACTCTCACTTTGACTGGCACCCATCATTCAGACCTGAATCTGTTGAGAAGTTCAAATATGAAAAGTGTGAAAGGTGTAGTAGCTTCAGATTCAAAAATTTACCACCGTACAAAGATTAATCGGTATTGCAAAAAAATGTAAGCAAATCATAGAGCGGCCACTTGAAGCTTTTCTGCGCGATCGCTCATAAGTTATTCTCTGCTTCATAAGCTCATTTGACTTTATTGTAAGCTTTTAAGAGATATTTCTTTTGCGGTAAAATATTGTCTGATGTTTTTGTAAAAAAAACCAATTGACAACGTAATGATAACACCAACTGTTGGGAACCATTGTATTCATTCAGATTTTGTACCGAAGTTATTAGGATTTTCCAGAGTGATTCAAAGAATGTAGAGCTATCAAGCGCCCCCTACAAATGCCACTGAAGATTGCCAAACCCACCAGAGCGTCAACTTTATCCGTCCAAGTCATATCACCCTTAATGTATCCAGTTATGCACACGAGAAGCATGCCAGAGCTTTTGTCGTGAGCTAATTTTGCCCAAGAGTGCTGTTTCATGGGTGCAGTGAATTTTGATATCACTGTGAGTCGTCGTGAGTTAATTATACTACTGTTCAGACACTTGTAGCCAAACGATTTGGCCTTCTGCCACTTGCTGGAGGGTTGCAGGTTCGGATCTCAGTGTTTTTAGGCTGTTTGGCACAGATTGCTTCTATCCACAAAGCGAATTTTCTCCAACCCATCGTTAGTTTTTGTGATAGATTGGCTTAGACCACCACTTAGTTCAGTAGGCACGAACATAGAGAGAGAAAAAAACACGTGAAAGGTTACAAAATGAGTTTGTGGTGTTTACACCGGTAACCGAAAACCTCTAGGCCTATGCGTACATTCGAGCCATTCTCGTAATTTTAAAATAGTTTTCCGGGGTAGGACTGATGAAGCCTAAAAACCGCTTTGGGTGGTTGCACGTACAACTTGGGTACCGTGCTCTCCCAGATGAGTCGTGACCTGATAAATCTCAGTAATAAAGATTGGGAAAAGAACCGGATGAGTCGATATCAGTTCATGATGGAAGATATCCGAATACTGAATGTCCTTTCTTGCTTGTCTTAACGGATCGGAAAGATATTCACATCTCATCTACACATGTGGATTACCTCGATTCACATCGATAGCACGCTCCACCCAGTGAAGTGCAAAAAAGTATGAACTCAGCAAACGGTTCCGAGGAACTTCTGACTGGTTTCGTTGGTTCGGTATAACAAGGTAACGAGTTAGTCCTTAAACACGAGCAAATAAACTGAATTATGAAATGAAATGAACATCGGTTACCAGGTCAACGAAATGTGACCGAATGTTTAGAGATTATGTAAATGAAGTTCAATCAGGAGGGATCGATGGTTCAGACTTTCTTGAATCCATCGTTCAAACTCATGCATTCACTGTGCACCAGTATAACGGAAAGTCGGTCAAAATTGCATTTTGCAGCGGCTGTGGTACCCATAGGATGTACAAACACATTCAGTGTGCTGCCGGCTTTTTGCAATGATATGCGATTGAGATGCCACGTGGACCACATCAGCCCGAAATTTTTCGATTCTGGACCGATTTAGCACACACATTCGCATTGTTATCAGGTAGTATAATTCCACGACATACTGAAATGTAGGCTTTTTAGCAGTGCTCCGCATTCGGAGTCAGTCATTTTTTCTAATGAATAATAACAACAATCCGCTCGGCGAAAAGCACGTTTTCAGAACACT